ACTCCAAAACAAACAACTGGATTTTAAAAGTGCAGAATTTCTTTCCTTCATCTTTTCTGATGCCGCATCATTTCTTCAAAGCTATTATGTTGAATGGACATGGAGCTAAAGTTAGACCAAATCTTCCCTCCATAGATGGTTTTGCAGCATTTTCAGGGTATAGAAAGGTAAAACTTTGCATCAGACTGGTGAAAATCAAGAACAGCTCCATTTTTGCCAACTGCTCTCCCATGCACACACGTTTACCTAAAGAACAGTTAGAAGAGATATATTACTGTTTTCATATGGTTGATCCATTTGTTAACACACATGTAATTCTTGTGCTACCATAGTCCAAACACAGAAAGGCTCAAGCTGCTATTAAGCTATGAACTCTGCAGCTTTGGCCTCCCATATTTTAGTTTGAGGCTTGCTCAGCAGCACTACTTCATATTAACAGCATTTACATCTACAGCAGAGGTATTATCAAAGGACAATTAATAATTTCTGCCTGGCAACTGGAGACTTTAGCAACCCAACCCATTTTGCAAGCCACCAACTGTCATAATAAAACAAGTTTTATCATTGGTTCTATGTGCAACTTTTACATCTCATGCCTCCAAGGCCCTACGCTTGAAACACCACCACCCCCCAAAACCAACTAATGACTGCATGTGGATCATCTTACCCATTCCAAAAGGAATGAATGCCTCTTTCTTAATTAGCTGGCCATTTTCATCCAGAAATCTTGACGGCTGAAATTCATCTGGTTTCTCCCAAATGTTAGGATCTCTGTGCACTGACCACAGGTTGGGCACAATCACACTGCCCTTAGGAATAGTATAGCCCTGCAGCACTTTGAACAAAAGCACAGATACACAGATCTGACAAGCTGCTAGAAGAAAACATGAGAAACATACCACCAAGAAGGCAACTAGATGATGTCACAAGAAATCATATGGATGCCTAGCTGTGGGCTGCAAATGTAGTGAAAAGCTTAAGGCAAAGGTGATCTCTGCCACCCTGCTTGAGTCAGAATCATGCAGGCCTGAGCAGCTGGAAAGACACCAAGTTACACCAACAGCTCCCTGCAGAGAAAAGGCAGCAGCAATCATCAGAAATGCACTCTGTACCATGAAAGTGTTGTAACCCAGTTTCCTCCTGCTCCTGTGCTGTCACAGAGCCCCACCACAGTCAAGGTTTTGAACTGTTGTCACAAAAGACTTTTGACATGACTAATCTCATTTCAGCTTGTTGCACATCACTCTCCTGCAAGCCAAAAGCAGATCAATTCGGTGCTGTGTTTGAAAGCCAAGTATTGCTACCTCTCATTTTATATCTCCTTTTAGTGTTCAGCTATGTTTAAGAAAACATAACTTGAGAAAGGATATGTATTAATGTTTGCTGTAGATGCAGAGCTCAATGGTATAAGCTTTTTAAGCTTCAGCAAACCAACTGCTCTGAATTGATGTTTTCAGACCACTGTGTCAGAATGTCAAAACCAACTCTGCTGTTTCAGGTACAAAGGTGGAGAGTCTCAGCTGCCAACTGCCACTAAGCACATCAGTCAATACTGAGCCCCCAGAAAAGAAATTGCTCTAAATTAGAAAATCTTCTGGATGTTAGTTCAGACATGCTACTTAAATAGAAGAGTATCTCAAGACCACCTGCTCTCTATAAATGGCATTTTACATACTTGGGTTGCAGGTCTAATACATCAGTGAGGTCTTTGTAAATTATCACTAGATGACCCATCAGATCCTCATCCCCACTGTAGCAACAAGTCTCTAGAAACACTTACCAGCAGTTTCTGAGGCCATTCGAGGAATAGAAAGGGGAACAACTGCAGTCATCCTCTGCACTTCCATAATGGTTGCCTCTGTGTAGGGCAGTTGAGCCTTGTGAGACAGGGAGGGAACTTTGTCACGTCCTAGAACTGCTTCAATTTCTGCATGAACCTTCTCTATTCAAAGGGAGCAAGAAAAATAAAAATTTCAAAAGATGCACAATATGTGAGAAGTCATCATCCCAATTTCATTTGCCTGTGCTTTGTTGTTTACATGGATTTCTCAAAAATGACTACAAGACACGATCCCTAGCTGAAATAACTATGCCAACATAAGCCTTAAGAACAGATTCAGTTAACAAGAAAACAACCAAGCACAATCTTGACAACTGTCAAGAGCAAAACTACTGAGGTGACAGGCATTGCTAACATTTCTGCACTGGAAAAGTTCTGTTGCAATTCCAAATGTATTCATAATCTTACTTTAAGAATTTAACTATACAGTAATTTGAATGGTGAGAACATCAAGATTCTGCCCTGAATTAAAAAACTTGAACAAAGGGAGAACTACATGCAGTGCATGCTTGAGTGGAGAGATGGGAAAGCTTTTAATGCAGCTGCTTTAGATATTTCACTCTGGAGCAGGAATTCTGCTGCTGTAACTGCAAGTGTTGAAACCATTTAACTTGTTCTTGCCATTTCCTGCTTTCTATTCACAGAACCTAAACTCAGCTACTTCCCAGTTCCCCCAAAAAGCAACAGCAGATGCTCCTTCCCCACACAGCCCTTCTGCAAAGGAAAAAAAAAAAAAAGAAGTTATTGAGCTTATTTCCTTTCTCACTGATGCAAAGCATAGAGTCTCAAAATATTTGTTTGCCCCTTTCATTTCACTACAGGCTCAACATTCAAGTAATTCTCTTCAAAGAAGTTTTCAAGATGCAAGATTTGCTTCAGCTCTGTACATACAGAATGATGCACCTTTTCTCACAGGTAACTTGGAATCTGGCTACACAGCAAAAGACAGTCATGAAAGAAGAGAGCTCAAAATTAACCTTTATTCAAAAATAATAAAAAGTAGTTTTTCATTGTTTACCCTTTATCTCCTGAATACTTTGTGGCTGTCCTGCTTGCCTTTTCCAACGAGGCTGCTGATACTCCGAGGTTTTGCTCTTTTATCTCCTTAGCACTGATTCAAGATTAAATAAAAGCTTAATGCAAAAATATCATCTCGGTTTCCCAAGCAGTATCCAGACCTGCTGCCTGAACTGCGTCCAACGAGCCACTGCTGCCACCTACTGAATTCACTAGTAAAAAAGTTCACATATGAGGAACATGAAAAAATACAAAATCTACAGCAGCAGATGTGCTGACAGCATGTGGCTCTCAAGTACCTGCTGGGGGGGGTTGCTACTTTTAACAGTGGCATGTTGTAGCCCTGTATTTGTGTATCCACATCCACAGTGATTCAAAACAATCAAACAAAGTTTTCAATATAAAAAAAACCCTAAAAATTAAGGAGACTGTCTCATGCCAAATGTCACACCAGCGCTTTATCCCAAACAACTCGTTTATTCAGAGTTTGTAAAGATACGTGGAACTATACAGAAAGCAGCCAAACTGCTGCTCACGTTACCAACTGCAAAAATGTCAACTTCAGCAGTTCCCTGCTAGCAGCACTTCATGTGAACTGCTCCACTATTTTTCACATATTTAAAAATCTCTCATATTCAGAAGTGAAGGACCAAAACCAAGTCAGGGAACAGAACAAACCAAACACTCCCTATGGCCTCATCATATTGGCTCACACCCATCCTTCTCTTTTTCCATGTAAAAAGCAAAACTGGTTTCCAAAGAGAAGAAGACTATTCCTGATTTTTTTTCCCCCCGATAGCCTTTAGTTTGACCTTTCATGTCTGCAAGCAACATTTGCTACTGCCAGAAGTTTCACATTTCAGGTGTTTTCTTTATGGAATAAATATGTTAATACATTTAAGAGAAACCTATTACCAGAAGAAAAAAAAGAAAAAGCCCATACATAACTCCAAGGCAATTGGGATACATAAGGAATGGGATACTAGAAGTAAGAGAATCACATTCCATAGCTAGATGATAATCAGAGAGAAGCAAAACTGCTAGAGATCAGCAGAAGAGGGAAAACTAACACATAGACAGCACGTATGGAACTATTTCCAGGCAGTATGGAAAGACGTCAAAAATGCCCCAAATGCAAAACTCTTCTATATCTCATTTGTGTAATTTAGAATATATCTAAATAATCTAACTGCAGAACAAGTCAAGCAATGATAGCACACCACCAATAAAAATAGAAGAATAGGTCTATGCAATAAAAGTTTATTTCACATTTGTCCCCAGTGAACTTTTTCTCCCATGTACTGAACTGGTGCCCTATTTTGCAATCTTTGGTCAACAATTTGGTTGACTTTTTGCAATAAGCTCTGATCTTGACCTACTTAAAGAGATAGAATTTCAAACACTTCCAAAGTCTGAGATTCTGTTAACTCTCAGGGCAATCTGTTGCACTCCTTTGCTGTCTTCACAGGGCAAATTTTTTTCTAGTACCTGATCAGAATTTTCTTGTTGTAGACTGACTCTGCTGCTTCTCTTACCTCCACTGCACACCTTAAGGAAAACTACCTCCATCTTCTTAGCATCTTCCAATCAGGTAGATGTACACAGCATAAGTTTTCCCCTCAGTCATCTTTTCTTAACATTGAACAAGACCAATTCCTTCTGCCCCTTTCTTGGGGCCATGTGTTCCATGTGTGTCTCCCCCTATGCCCCCATCATCAGCAAGATACACGACTGCCGTGACCATTCAAGACTGATGTGGAGAGGCCTTCCAGTGACACTGACCAGCTGGTGCTGTGCACTTGTTCAAGTCCAATTTGCTCAAGTTGTCTCTGATTTGATCTTCCTCTACAGTGGGTACTGTTGCACTTCCCCAGACTCTGCTGCTATGCTCTAGGACTTCTCTGCTCAGGGAAGCATAAAAGCAAACCTTACCACTACGGATCTTACACATCTTATATCACTACCACACACCTGGAATGCCACAATTGCCAAAGCCTCTGAAACACACTAAAGTTCCTTGGAATTGCTTGGGAAAGAGAAGGGTGTCCTAAACCAGAAGAAGCACACAGATTAAATGGCCATTTTAGGTAGTTAATATATAGCACCAACCTAGAGATTGTCACAGCACAGCAGATGTCTGATTATATATCGACCTTTCAAATTACATATTACACATGTACTATTTGCACTCCAGATGATTTCTCCATACGTCGTTTGCTTCCGTTTCTGAACATCCATCTAGAGCTTTACAGTTTGGAATAAATCACCTAGAATAAAAAGAGTCTTACCTTGCACTTCTGGGTAAAGAGACATGTAGAGCAGGCACCACAGCAATGTGTTGGAAGTAGTATCTGTGCCCGCGATGAAGAGGTCACCAATGATAAAAAATAGGTAGTCGTCATTAAAACTGCTCTCCTTGTTCTTTTCTTCTTCCGCGTGGATGAAGTACATATCAATGAAGTCCCTGGGATTTGCTGTATCCAGCGTATCCCTGTGCTGTGCAATTATTTTCTTCAGAAAAGCAGTAATGTCTAATTCTGTTTGCCGAAGTTCCCGGAAAGGCCCAAAGGGAAGGTAGTACAGCCAGGGGCAGATATTGACCAGGATCATATAGCTGTTCACGCTGAGCTCTAGCGCACGGGCCATGTTCTTCAGCATTGTCTTGAACTCAACGTCTTCGTAGTTAAAACGCTTGCCAAAAGCCATAGAACAGATAACATTGGACACCGCGTTGCGAATGATTGGAAAAGGATTAAATGAATCCTTTCCATGCTTCAGCATTTCCTCCTTTATAAAGTTCAGTTCCTCAATGATTTTGGGCTCTAAGCTGTGTCTCCCTACTCCAAAATGACGCAGTGTTGCGAGAGAGAATTTCCTCTGTTGCTTCCAGACAGGGCCATAAGGTGCAAAAATAACACCTGGAAAAGAAAGGGAGAGTCTGAAACCAAAATGCCCTATTTTCAGGAAATAGCTAGGCAAACCTGCAGCCCAAGAGCCAGAAGGAAGGGAAATGATACACAGCAAATCTATCCCAAGCACGGGGCTAGGAGCAAAAGGAAGAACACAAGGTTCTTTATAATAGCTTTGGGAAATCCTGTCCCTCCTTTTCCCAATACAACAGTTAGATCAGTAGTTTTACTAGTCTTCTCAAGACACAAATACATGGAGAAATACTGTAGATGCTTCATAACAAATTATAACAACTTTGTAGGAACTTTTACTCTGGGACATATATTGGCTATAGCCCCTTCTACTCAGTGTCCTGAGATGAATTCCTTTAGTGAGACAGAATAGAAGATACTAAAACACAAACTTGTTTGCATATCTTTTCCCCTTCATGTTATACAAACTTACCTCAACACTTTCTGCATCTGTTTCTATTACAAGCAAGGTTTTCCTTTAGGTTATAATAAAAATACAGGATAAGCACTTTGCAAACAAACTGGGAAGGTGAAGACAGGTTGGGAGGCACTTGGCAAAAACCTGCTTGATTTGCATCTCAACAGTTTTAATGCCTCTGGGCACTTGTTCTGCATGATCCTGTCATTACGAAACACCATTTAAATTAAATCCCTTAGCTTCAAGTGTAACTACTGCTCACTTACAAAATTTCTTTCCTTGAATTAAAAGACCACACCAAAGACACTGCAGGGTAACAAAATACACAACCTGCTATTTCTAATGTACTATGGTTAACCTGAGAAAGTTTAAAGCCATCAAAACATGGGCTATTTGGGGCTGAATTTAGCCAAGAATCAGCTTTAGTTTTCAGGGTTTGTGGCTGGGGTGGGGAAGAAATAAGGATTTCTTGGAACAGAAGAATGTTATCACTATTTCTATCCTGCAACAAATATCTCCAATACAGACTATACATCCACAACCGTTTCCCCTTTCTGTCATTAGGAAAATTAGTTTTAGGATCCAAATACTTTCATAAAAGAAAACAGACTAATAGTCTGGAATGTAAAGAAGACACTCCTAGCCTGACAGGAAAGCTAACACCAACAACACACCTTCCCACACCCCCGGGCACAGAGCCTGGCTATGGCATGGTGTTCTCTCTCATCCTGAAACGCCAGATTTCTGCAGAACACTAATAACTGATTTGCAGATTGGAAAAGAATGACATAGGAGACAGATCAAGAAGGAAGAAGCACATCAAGTTAGAATAACAGAGATAAGAGAAGAAAGAAAGCTGTCAACGGGATTTAATGGAATAGTCCTTTGCTGTTTTCAAAGAAAATCTCTGCCTGGCCTGAAAAGTCAAGGTACCCAGCACAGGCAGCTCTACTCTTTAAAAAAAACCAAACCCAAACCACCACAACAAAAAAAACCACAAACAAACTAAAGCAAAACACACAAACAAACTAAAGACAGCATAATAATAAATTCTGAAGCAACAAGAATAACCAGGACTTCATGCTCATTCCACAGGGATCATTTCTATGAACTGATAATTAAAACCTTTCAATACAACCCACAAATTCATAGAACCAGAGAGTTCATTTTTTCTCCCTTTTTGCATGCAAAAAATTCAAATCCTTACAAGAAGTTCTGGCAAAGGCTAAGTTACCCTTCCCACCCCCCTCCACTTCCTACTGCTAGCTTTAGTGTTGCTGCAATACTGGGAACATTGACAATACAGAACTCATGACATTTAGTAACATTTAACATATGAATTGCCAGATGTGAGCATCTGGATGTGTGCAGGGCAGGGCTATAAAGGCAGATAAACACTCAGGCTCCATCTACTCTAGAGATTGAACCTTTGCTACCTCTCACAGCTATAAAATACAAAAATGCTTTACTAAAACAGAACTACAGAAATCTACTTCCCTCCCCCCCAGTCTAGTATTTGTCTTTCTGCAGATGTATGTGTGGAAGCCTTCAAGTAAGAACTGACTTCCACCTTGTCCCTTAAGTTCTCATGGCACTTCCCAACCACCCAAGAAGGCTAATCAAGTTGTTAAAACGCAGTATTTGCCATTTCTGATACTTCTACTTGCTCTCCCCCAGGCACAATATTTTATTTGCACCTTACACACAACAAAGTCACACAGCTGAGATAATCCCTTCTTTCTTCCACACCATACCCAGCACGTCAGCTCAGGATAAAGCCAAAACTACAACAGAATATGTAGCTTAAAAGAAAATAGCCCTGTAAGTTTATACCACATAGCTTGCTTACAGAATGAAGATGTATGAACCCGAAATGGACTCTTACTGACTCACAGTGTCCCAGCGTTGTAGTAACCAAACTGTGAGCAGTAGACCTGAAGTTGGTTACACACTATCCTGCTTCTATTGCTTCCTTTCCTAGCACATGCTGACACAACTGTTGCTGTCCTGATCTGCAGCAAAGTCTCACCCAAGAGCTCCTGAAACTATGCTCAGGATGCTCCCAGACCAACCTCAAGAGGCCTCCAGTTGGAGCATGCTAATGCATCCACCTCCTCCATGAACCACACACGAAAAAGAAACACTCGTTAACACAAATGCAGCATTGCAGAGGTTCAGTCACCTCCTTCACACCACCACTAAGCCAGCCCACTGAGAGCACCTGTAACTTCCATGAGTTTTTGGAGAACCAGCCTGGGGGGGAAAGGGAGGAGGCAGTGGCCCACACTGCCCATATTCGCTGACTTTTCCCCATTTGTGTACTCAAAGTAGACTACCTCTGCACTTCACTCTACAATACACACACATCTGTGGCCATTCAGTGTGTTGCACCAGCTAACATAAGCACTACATAACAGCTCACTACCTTCATGTAACAGCCCTCGTGCCCTGATCACAGCTACACGACCTTCCAGATAGAACTAAATGTAAAGCAACACAATGTCCCTGCTGCAAGGCAACACAGGCAGGAACAGTCCTTGGACTTGGCTGCATCATGCTCAACGCACTCCACGTGGACAACACTCCTGACACTTTCAGCTCCCCTGGAGCATCCATCTGTGGAAGCTGCTAGCTGCCCTGGCTACTCTTCTGTCACTGTGCTCAAAGAAGTCTGCCTGAGAACTGTCTGCAGAGAACAAGAAACATATGAAATCCACAGCATTCAAGGAAAATGAAATCCACCATGAGCCTGAACATGTGGTTTTACAGCACTGCTAAAACTAACTCCTCTTCCCGATTCCTCCTCCAGTTCTTGCTAAATGTACCCTACCTAAAAATACTCACACGTGATAACGTACCAGTAAGATCCATCCTGGACCAACATCATTAAACCAATATAATTCATCTTTTTTTTTTATCCTTTAAACCAATTTCAACCATGGTACCTGATTGCTTTTTAATAAACATCATCTAGGTCCAGCAGTTTTATCTACTAGGCTAATTCTAGCACAGTAAAAAAAAATTGAAGATAAGTGTTTTAGGCACTTAACCAATAGATTTCGCTGGCCTTGGAAAAAATAAAAAACATACACAAGTTTCACAACCAGTTAGCACATTAACAAGCCTTCTGGGCTACACCTCCTAAACTGAAGAAGGAAAAGTAGTTTTCCACAAACACTAAGATCCCGAATGGACCCAAAAACTAAACATGAAGAAATCCTAACTTCAGTTATTGCCATCATGTGTTTAAACTCTCTGTGCCCATTTCCTGCACAAGCTAGTACAGGAAGCTAGACCTATTAAGAAAAAAAAAAAACAAAAACAAATCAACGGAAAAACAACAAACAAACCCAAATATGCTCAGTAAGTTTCGAGAAGCAGAGTAAGACAGCCCCAAACATCTCAGCGACAGCAGCTTGCAGGCAGGCAGGGCAGCCAGGGGACTGCACAGGAGTCTGCTCTTAGCCACGGTTAGCTCGGCAAGGCCTGGGACAGCACTCAGCTCCGTACCACGGCCGGTCGCAAACCCCCGGGGGACAGATCTGCTGTCCCTCACCCCTGCACAGACGCCAGAGCCTGTGCTGCCGACAGAGCTCGGGGGCTCAGGCGGCTGAGCCGCGCAGGGCACAGCACGGCCGAGCCCGGGGGA